TTTTATCTAAAGATTTTATTTCTAGGGCTGGAGAGATAGCTCAGTGGTTAAGAGTACTGGCTGTTCTTTCAGAGGTCTGAGTTCAATTCCCAGGAACCACATGGTGGCTCACAACCATCTATAATGGGATCCCATTCCTTCTTCTGGCATACAGGAGTACATGGAGATGGACTACTCAAATACATAAAGTACATAAATAAATTCTTTAAGATTTTATTTGTTAAAGAACTAAACAGAATTCTCAACAGAAGAATCTAAAATGGCTGAAAGACATTTACAAAATTGCTCAACATCCTTAGCCATTAGGAAATGCAAATCAAAACAACTCTGAGATACCATCTTACACCTGTTAGAATGGCTAAAATAAAAAACAAAACAAAACAAACAACCAACAACAGTTTATGCTGGAGAGGATGTAGAGAAAGAAGAACACTCCTCCACTGCTGGTGGGGGTGCCAACTTGTACAGCCACTTTGGAAATCAGTATGGAGATTCCTCAGAAAAATGGGAATCAGTGTACCTCAAGATCCAGCAATTCCACTCTTAGGCATATACTCAAAGAATGCACACTCATACCACAAGGACATTTGCTCAACTATGCTCATAGCAGCACTGTTTATAATAGCCTGGAAGCAACCTAGATGCCCCTCAACCAAAGAATGGATACAGAAAATGTGGTACATTTACACAATGGAGTACTACTCGGCGGGAAAAAAATGGAATACTGAAATTTGCATGCAAATAGATGGAACTAGAAGAAACCATCCTAAGTGAGGTAACCCAGTCACAGAAAGACAAACATGGTATGTTCTTACTCATATATGGATATTAGACATAGAGCAAAAGATTACCAGCCTACAATCCACACCTTCAGAGAAGCAAGGAAACAAGGAGGACCATAAGAGAGGCATACACGGTCCCCCCAGTGAATCAGAAAAGACAAGAACCCCTGAACAAATTGGAAGCATGGGGGAATGAGGAAGGGAGATAGGCAAAAGAGGAGGGGGGAGGAGAACAGGAGTGATCAGGAAGATTACGTGGGGGAGAGGAACAGAGGAAAACAAGAAAAGAGACACATCAACAGAGGGAACCACTATAGGTTTAAAGAGAAATCTGGCACTAGGGAATTGTACAGAGATCCACAAGGATGACCCCAACTAGGAACCTAAGCAATAGTGGAGGGGCTACCTTAAATGCTCATCCCATATAATGAGAATGATACTACCTTAAATGCCATCCTAGAGCCTTCATCTAGTAGCTGATGGAAGCAGAAGCAGAGATTCACAGCTAAGCACTGAGCCAAACTCCTGGAATCCAGCTTCAGAGAGGGAGGAGTGACCAATAAAGGGGTCAAGACCACATTGGGAAAACCCACAGAAACAGCTGATCTGATACAGTGGGAACTCATGGACCCCAGTCTGACAGCTGGGGAACCAACATAGGACCAAACCAGTCCCCCATCTTCCCCAACCCAAATGTGGGTGTCAGCTAGGAGCACTGGGCAGTCTATGGGGCTTCTGGCAGTGGAATCAGGATGTATCCCTAGTGCACAAAGAGACTTCTTTTACCATGGAGGGATACTCTCTCAGCCTAGATACACAGGGGAGGGCCTAGGCACTGCTCCAAATGACTTGACAGATTTTGATGATCTCTCATGGAAGGCCTCACTCTCCCTGAGGAGTGGATGGTGGGTCAGTGGGATGCATGGGAGGATGGGAGGGAGAGGGAACTGGGATTGATATGTAAAAATAAAATCACTTCTAATTTAAATAAAATTTATAAAAAAGGATTTTTTGTAATTATGTGTACATGTGTATGGGGTCATGTGTACACACCTTGTGAAAACACGAAGTTGATGCATTTTACCAAAATGGCTTACATCTTTAAAAATATGGTCATAAAATAACTGACATGGTTTTTAATTTTTAAATTTGTAAAGGATAATCTGTAAGCTTCTAACTATATGTCAATCTGCCTTAATATTTACCAATAACAGAGTATGATCAGTGAGAAATATCTTTAACTTCCACAGCTCTTTTCATCTCTCATTCTAGATGAAATACTTCAAGCAGGGAATTACCAATAATTACTATCTACAAGGTTCTTTACTTGTAACAACACTATAAAACATGGCAAAATAATTACCATCACCTCGTTACTAAAGGAAAATGCTGAACCAGTTTGGCTTGTTGTCTAAGGTTACATTAAAGTCTAAAAATGCCAAAATTAGACAGGAGCCTTTATGGCCTAATTTTTATATGCCTCATCACTCAAAAGTAACTATCTGTGAGAACCATTACAATCCAGGAAGAATCTAAAAGACACCAATGTATCATTGGAGCAGTAAATCACTTCAATATTTTCATTTACAGGTAAGCTCTTGAACATCCACTTACGAGTTAACTGTTTAAAGTGACAGTCTATTCACAGTAAAGCAAGAGTTAGAACCGAACACTCCACCATTAGACTCTCCAATTTCTAGAGTATAATTGCTATCTTTAATTCTCAGATTTGGGGGTTAGGGATGTAGCTCAATGATACTGTACTTGTCTGGAAGGCATGGGGCCTTGAATTCAATCTCTGATCCCCAACCCCCAACCAATTAAAACGACATAAATAGGGCTAGTGAGATGGTCTAGTGGGTAAAGATGCTTGTTGTCAAGTCCTTGACATGGAGTGAGAAAACTGGTTGTTTCAAGCTGTCCTCTGATGCATGTGTGTGCAACTCACTCACACACACACACACACACACACACACACACACACACAGAGTGAGCAAGCGAGAGAACAGAAATATGAATAAGAATATGAAGACAGATAAAAAACCCTAAAATACATACATTTTTAAATTTACAAACTTAATGAGACTAGAGACGGCTCAGTGGTTAATAACACTTAGCTGCTCTTCCAGAGGACCTGGGTTAGATTCCAAGCACCCACATGGTGGCTCACAATCATCTTCCTACTCCAGTACCAAGGGGTCCTCTTCTGGCCTCCTTGAGTACCAGGCATGTATATGGTGCACAAATATATATGTAGACAAACATCCCCAAACATAAAATGATACATGCATACACACACAAAATTAGGGTTCATTTGGTTCTTTCTTTTTTTCTTTGTTCTGATAAGGTTTCTACAGCTCTGGCTGTCCTGGAACTCAGAGATCCGCCTGGCTCTGCCACTAGAGTGCTGGGATTAACGGCGTGTGCCACCACTGCAGGGCTGCCCATGGTCTTTAATAAGGAAATACATTTACAGGAAAGCTAGACATAAAAGTTTATTTTAAATACAACTCCTTCTTTCTCTGCTCCCCCCATCCAAGACAGTTTCATGCATCCAAGGGTGACTGAACACCTGATTCCACCTCCCAGGTGTGACGATTATACGTGTACACCATCATGCCTGTCCAAAATCTTAACTTTTGTTGTAAATACTATAACTTTTAAGTATGTCTTCATTTGAAAACAAGGATCAAGCATCAAAAAAGTTTAAAAACTATGGAATTCTATACAGCACCTAATACTGAATATACAGTAAGGGTAAAAAGCTTGGGTATCGGATATGAGGTCTGGAGTCAATTTTTATGGACAGCTTTGTTTTGTTATCTTTGACTTTGTTTTTGGAAACAGGTTCTTAATGTGTAGCCCAGGCTAACCTTGAATTCAAGGCAATATTCCCTGCTTCAGCATTCTGAGTGCTAGGATTACATGCATGAGCCACAAGGTTGGCTGTATGCAGAGCTATAAATATCCTTTTCCCCCCTTAAACTTTCTGTGCTGATTTAAATGAGAATGGCCCCCCCATAGGCTCATATATTTGAATTCTTGGTCCCTAATTGGTGGAACTGTTTTGGTAAGCACTAATAGGTATGACCTTGTTGGCAGAGGTATGTCACTGAGGGTGGACTTTGAAGTTTCAAAAGTCCATGCCACCCTGGTTGGCTCTCTGTTTCCTGATTGTGTATCAGCTACTGCTCCAGAGCCATGCCTGCCTGCCACTATGCTCTTCACCATGATAGTCATGGATTCATACTCTCTGAAACCGTAAGCAAGCCCTTCTTAAATACTTTCTTTTATAAGTTGCTTTGGTCATGTGTCTCCTCATAGTAAAAAAGTAACTAATAATACTCTGTCAGACAAACAGGTGACAAAGAATGACTTCTGGAACTGTCAAACGTTCTGTTGTCTGAAGACTGTTTAGTAGGTCCAAAGTATAAGAATGAATGAGTTTCTCTTAAGTATTATTCCAAAAGAGCACTATAATAATAGTTACCTACTTTTAGAGCATAAACCCTCTGTGGGATACAGTAAATTAATTAAAAGTTACATTCACTGAATTTCCCTGCAGGAATTCTTTTATCTTTGATAACTAATTAAAATTTACAAGTCCCCTATTAAGGAAAAATCCAAATACCCACCAATATTAACCATCATGGAGATTTTAAAAACACTAAACTTTGAAAATCAGTAAAACACAGACTTAGCCTATAATCTCAGCACTTGAGAGGCTGAAGTAGGAGGACTGAAGGAGTACAATAGCCTGGGCTACATAGTCAGTTCCAGGGGAAACTGGGTAACTCTGTCTCAAAACAAAACGACAAAAATAAAAAACCAGTAAACAAATAAGAAAGTGGTGATATTTTTAAAGGCAGCAGCCTTTAAATACAGGTATAGAAAAACCAACTTACGTGATCGAGAGAGAGAGAGAGAGAGAGACAGAGAGAGACAGAGACAGAGAGACAGAGAGACAGAGAGAGCGAGAGAGAGAGACAGAGACAGAGAGACAGAGAGAGCGAGAGCGAGAGAGAGAGAGAGAGAGAGAGAGAGAGAGAGGGGGGGGGGGGAGGGAGGGAGAGAGAGAGAGAGAGAGAGAGAGAGAGAGAGAGAGAGAGAGAGAGAGAGAGAGAGAGAGAGAGGAAAGCTTTTATATACAGAGCAGAAAGCAGAATGATAATCCCAGCAGAACTAACCACATGCAGAATCTCTGGTGTAAATGGTTACCTGAGAAGTTAGACAGAAGTCTTGCTAGGGCATGCTTGTTAACCGTTTCAGTCTTGCTAAGGCTGGAAATAGGATCTACTCTAGTGTCTTTGGTGACAGAGGGCTTTTTGGTCCCAACACAAGATGCAGTCTCAACATCTGTGTATTCTAGGATGTCAGATGACCTCTGTAGCCAATATTGTGGAGCAAAGGCTTGCTTGAGTTTTCCTCCTGGAGTTGCTCCTTCAGTCTGCACCTGCTCAGCCTGCCTTTCTCCTAATTCTTTAATGGCTCTGATGGTGAGCTGCTCCTGCTCTAAGTCAGGAGACACCAGGAGGGCACCTTGAGGAGAGACTGCACTCAGCTCACCTCTATTTGTTTCTTTGACGCGTTCACTGCATTTGGTTTCAGAACCATCTAGATCACATTCATACAAGAGTTCCACAGGGAAAGCATTTTTAAAGTCTGCTGTCTTCTCTAACACTGCTTCCACACTGCTATGATCTTTATCCTCGAGTCCTTTCTCCCTGGCTCCTGTGAAGGCAGCTAGCAAGTCCTCTGGGGAGGAACCATCTGTATCTTCAACATATTTTCCAAGCAAAGACTCCAAGTTGGCAGAAGCTGTCACAGTTAGTGGGAATCCTGTCTCACTAAGAACACTTGGAGGTGCTGTTGAAGGAACTCTGGGGTTGTCAGTCACAGCAGGGTTTTCAGGTGCAAGTTCATTCAGAGTATTAGGTACTTGTAAGCAAACCTCACTTTCCAGACTCCTATGAGTAGGAGTTTTTGGCTGGGCCTGAAGCAGCTGAGAGGTACTGCTTGACTCTTCTGAGTTTTCACACATCTCACTCCTCATAGTCCCACAATTGGGAGTCTCCTTGATATCCCTTGCACTTGTTTTTGCATCAGTACCTGAAAGGGAGTCAGGTTTTTCAGGCAGAACTTTGTTGGTCTCAAATGAGGGGTCTGCTGTGACATCTTCTATGACTGTGTCATCAGACTCCCCAGAACTATCAACCTCTGTGACTTCTCCCAGCACACAGTTAGGCCAGGCATCCCTCAGGTCAGGTAAAGCTACTTCCACTGTGGCTGCTCCAGAGCCTGAGACCCATTTCTCAGGCAAAGAGCCAGGTGGCTCTGTAAGTGGCTGGGAACTGCCTGATACACCTCTGTCACTGGCTTTTGTGGCACTGAGATGGTAGTCTTTTACAGGTTTTCCAGCAATGTTTTCTAGAGACAAAGATGCTTCTGCCCAGTCATCTGTGGATTTGGTGATGGGAGTGTTCCCGTTAAGAGAACATATAGGCATTTTCTGATGAGTGTTTGTTTTAAGATTTATAACTGGAATCTCTGAGTGATGTTCATTCCTGTCTAGTCCTGTACTTTTTGTGGTATAAGATGATTTATCAGCCTGTTGCTTTGTTTGGGGAACTAGATCCCAAGTCAGTATTTCATTAGTAAAGTTATGCATATCGTTCACACATCTAGACACCTCTTCCAGTGCCGCTGTAGTGTGTGAAAACTGTCTACTGAGCAGTGCAGAGGCTGGATAACGCCCTGCCTCTTTATTTCTCAGGGGAAACACTTTGTCATTCATTTCCAACAAGTCTGCAGGGGATTCTCTATCACTGTGAGCTGTCCAACCACCCAAATCATTTGTGCTTTCCTTATATAAATCTTTAAATTCTCTGTCAAAAGTTGCTTTGTCAATAATTACTTCAAATGGTGACTCAGGAGAATCTTTTTCGACACCAGCTCCTGAAAGTGCAGATGGGGACAAGGAATATGTACAAATGTGCTCTGTCTTAGACTGCCCAAGATCCAGTACACTTCTGTCCTCTCCACTTGGAATCTTGTTCAGGTTCTTGGGTTCCTGGTCTTTAACTATCCACTCTTCTACTGAACCAGTTTCCTTTGAGAGAAAAGCAGGTTGCTCTGGGAAACTGTCTGGAATGGAAGGATGGCTGCAAGGACCGCCGGCTGTAAGAGAAACAGGAGTGTCTACTCTGTCCTTATTGGCCCCTTGAGACAAATCCAGCTTTTTCATACCTAGAAGAACCAAGGGGTCTTTTCCTTCTTTGGCTAGAATAAGCTGGCTGCCTAATGTTTTGCTTTTTTCTCCAAGCAGTGTTGTAAGGTCAGGGTTATGATTTCAGAAGATGAAAGAAAGGAGGAAGCCATAATAATTTCTGAAAGTGACTCATCAGAGCAAAGAGAGCTCAATCCCACGATGGTCAGAATTTGAAAGAAAAAGATTGTTTACCAAATGCAAGTACATTAGCTAGTCAAGCCAAGCAGCATGCTTTTTATTTTTAAGTCACACACACACACACACACACACACACACACACACACACACAGTATGTATATAAACATATGCATACACACAAGTACATAACAAAACAAACACAAGTGGTTATCCTACAAAGCATGCATTAAACTGCCAACAGTAAAACAAAAGCTGGTATCATGCTGCAAATTGTGAATGACAAAACATTCTCAAGACAAACACTTTTTAATTGCCCATACCACACACACACACACATAAGGGCGTGACAGTACTGGAAGGTTTGGGGAGTTTTTCCTTCCTTTTTTTTTTTTTTTTGTGGGAGAAAGGTCATTTAATAGGAGCAACATAATCTATACAGAACCGCTTGTTGTTATTACATGCTGCTATAGCTTACTTTGTAAGCAGAACAATTCAGAATACATTGGCTCTACAGATCCCCTATTGCAATCCTCACCATCTGAGAAGGAAAAGGAAGTGGCTTGGCTCAGGTTCTTGATCTAGAGAGGCAGCAGATCTTCCCTGAGCCTGAAAATCAGTCTAAAAACATTCTATTCCATCCTTTAAGAAAAGGATACAAATTGCTTGATGTTCTAAAGAATGTTGAAAAGGTCAGCCTGCTCCCAAATCTCTGGTCAACTGGCCATTTTAACCAAAATCAAATGGCAACACAGTAAGAGTTGCCTTGAGTTTCCAAGGAGACTCTGGATTCTTGAACAAGGTTAAGCTGTGGGGATTTATGGAGATGGACATAGCCTTACACTGGGCCAGGTGTGCAGTGTTACAGTGATACATTTGGTTGTCAGATTGACAAGGGTGGACTTGTGATGGTTCATCTTCACAGTCACTATGGCAGAATTTTGAATCACCTCAATGACTGTGAAGATGTTTCAGAGAAGTTAACTGAGGGGTGAAGATTTGCCCAGAATGTGGGTGGCACTCCCCCATGCCTAGTCTAGGGACTCAGACAAGAAAAGAGGTGGCCACCTGAGTGCCAGCACTCTGTTCTTTACTGTCTGACCTAGTGAATATTCTGAACTCAAAAGCCAAAATAAATCTTTCTTAATTGAAAAAGGACTGATTGGTATGAGGCTTTTTGTTGTTGTTGTTAAGACAGTGAACAGAATTCTTTTTTTTAAAAAACAGAGTGATGTAATCTTACTAATTATTAACTCCACAGCAACCATTCACTCATTTACTATGATATTCTCTTTCTAATCCAAGCAAAGATGGAAATAACCATACCAAATAAAGCTGTGTCTCTGGAGCTGGAACAAAGCAGACCTTAAAATAATCCTACATAAATCAATCAAAGGCACAATTTGGTCAGGTGAGGGCTAAGACTCAGGACAGCAATTTCTTGAGCATGAATAATTGGGAAGACAAGAAAGAAAAATTCCTTTGGTACTGTCTCTATATGTAGCCTAGGCTCTGTTCTAATTATATCAATAAAAAGAAATTTATGACATCATGCAAATTTATTAAAAACCAAAGTAAGAATTAAGTATTTTAGTAAGGTTAACAAAACCCCATTATTATAGGATGTTTACAAATGCTATATAGAGTTGTCTTATTATCTAGGAGTGGTGGCACATGCCTTTAGGCCCAGTACTGGGTGGGTGTGGGGGGGTGGGAGCACCAAAAGCAGGAGGATCTCTGTGAGTCAAAGGGCAGCTTGGTCTACATAGTGAGTTCCAGGACAGCCAGGGCTATGTAAGAGAACCTGCCTTTAAAAACAAAAGTTGCCTTACTTTGGGGCACATTACTAAGATTTTATGTCACAGGGTCTGAGCTTTAGAACAGCAAAGCTGTAACTTAGGTAGTGGGAAACTCTTCATAAATGAAAAAAAGAAAAAAAGGGGGGGTAAGTTTGATTATAAAACAGAAAAAAAAAATGAAGCTGTAAATGTAGCAAACATGGCTTACACCCATCACTACCTTGCTGAGACAATCAGTAAGAAAAGGGTGTAAGATAAAGTGGGTTAAAATTCTGAAGCTTTCCTAATAGGAATAGAACCCAGGCAAACAAAACTGACCATGACTTACAAAGAGTCAAGCCTACTTGTTTAATAGACCCGAAATTTCAGATGATTCAGAAGACCTATCACAGATGAAGAGTGTCAGTGAAGTGAATTAATTGTCATTCAGCAAATAATATTGTCTATCACATTCCAGACACTGTTTCAGAAACTAGATTTAATGCAGTAACTGAAGCAGAAAAAGCCAGTCCTTTGTGAATCTAACATAGAAGAAACAGAAATACACAAAATCAGTAAACAAGTAAAATAATGGTTTGGTTATAATCCATGAATAGAAAAAGAAAGCATTAAGGAAAGAAATGACAATCATAGAATATGTATATTACTAGAAAAACAGAACACTGTGCTTTTGGCAGGACACAAACATACCAGTTTCCTATGCCCTGCTTCTCATACTTCCCCTGAACTCTGAGCATGTCAATGGTTCTGAATTGTGTACAGAATAATCTAAGGCAAAACTATGCGATTAGGCTAGAAGTCTCACTGTCACAATGCTAGTGGGTTTTCTTATGAACATCATAACCACCTGACAGACTGCAAACATTTTATTAAATAGATGCTTTTTTTTTGAGACAAAGTCTTCAGCATTCCAGGCCGACCTCAAACTTATTAACTTATTTTGTATTTTGTAACCCAGGATGGCCCTCAACTCTTGATCCTCCTGTCTGTACCTCCCCAAATGCTAGTATTACAGGAATATAATACACTTCTGGTTTATGGGGTGCTAGGAATTGAGCCCAGGGCTTCATATATGCCAGGCAAGTATGCTACAGCCCCAGTTCCTTATTAAAGACTGTTGAAAATGACAGAACTACTATACACACAAATAATTTTAGAGCTGTATTTTCCAGGGTTTCTAGCACTGGTTAAGAGTAAGGTAAGAGGATTGAGCATTCAAGGCCAGCAAAGACTATAGAGTAAAACACACATGCACACACGCGCACACACACACACACCTCCCTAATATGATTTCATAACTCACTATCTGGGTGGACAGTGTTTTGTGAGGGCAGTCTGGAGGGTAAACAGAACAATGTTTTGTTCATTCTTTGGTAAGCATAAGATACAGATGCTAGCTCTCAATACTGTTAAACTTTCCCATGTGCAGCCAAAGATGGTAACATCTTCATCTGTGTTTTAATTTTAATGATCTCCATTAGAATTCTGGCAGATGAAAAGAAATTTCAGCTAACTGTAATCCTAACAAACTTGGGTAGAGCTGATAATGTACTAACACAATAGAAAAAAATTGGGTTGGAAGTAAAAGGTTTATAGTGTGAAAACATTAAGCAGAATATAACAGGCCTTTTATTACAGCTCTAAACAAGAACTCTCCAATTAGTAGTCATCAGTGCTGTTCAAATCAGTTACAACATAGCAGAAAACTTCAGAGAACTTCAAAGTTGTTACCTATTAAAATATTACACACTACATGACTTACTGTCCAAACCATTTTGAATTATTTTATGTCTCAGAAAATATCTATTAGCTTTCTTTTTTCAAACACCTAGCCCATAGTATCTTATGACTTTGACCTCAGCACCCAGGAGGCAGAAGCAGGCACATTGCTGTGAGTTCCAGGTCAGTCAGGGCTACACAGTTACCCTGACTCAAAATAAAAAATAAAAAATAAAACCAACCAAACAAATACTTTGCAATGTTTTATATACACTTAAGATCTCCATGAAGAAATCTCATGAGTAGGGTATGGTGTACACATCGGGGATCCCACACTCCAGAACAGTAAGATTAGGAGTTCGAGGTCAGCTTGTGTTGTATGACACTTTGTCTCAAAACAAACAGAACAAAAACCAAATAACAACAAGGGGGAGGGCTGAAAAGATGCCTCATTGGCTAAGAGCAATTTTTTGGCAGAGGATCTGGGTTTAGTTCCTAGCACCCACATGGTGGCCATTTAAAACTTCAATTTCAGGGGACTGATCCAATGCTCTTTTCTGGCCTCTGCGGGCATCAGGCACACATACAAGCAAAATTCTCACACACATTAAAATAAAAAGAGGACATGCCTTTAATCCCAGCACTAGAGAAGTAAAGGTAGATGGATCTCTGTGACTTCAAGGCCAGCCTAGTCTACATAGTGAGTACCAAGCAAGCTAGGTTGACATAGTGAGACTGTTTCAAATTAAATAAAATATATTAAAAGAAATCATTGCAAGTAGTTCCTAAATTAGCTTTTCCAACACTGGGACTCAATGTCCACATTCATTTTAAGAGTTCAAAACACTCCAAAGTATAGTGTTACTTTATTAAACAAATAAGGGTAAACATCATACAGATTTATTTATTATGTTGACATTTAGTCACTCTACGTTTCCTCCCATTCATTCACCAGCAAAAGCAACACAACAAAAACCCCTATTAAAAGATGCTGGGAGCTGGGTAGTGGTGGTACATGTCTTTAATCTCAGTATTCAGGAAGCAGAGGCAGGTCGATCTCTGTTTGAGGTCAGTCTGGTCTACAAAGCAAGTTCCAGGACAGCCAGGTCTGTTACACTGAGAAACCCTGTCTTGAAAAACAAAACAAACAAAGATGCTGGGGAGATGGCACAGTGGTAAGAGCACTTGCCAGCATGAGAACCTGAGTTCAAATCCCTAGCATCCACCTGCATGCCTGTGACCCCACCCACCAGCAT